CATCCCATCCCATCCCATCCCATCCCATCCCATCCCTTCTCCCATCCCACCCCACCCCCACGCCCCCCAGTGTCTTCCCAGTGCAAGATCCTGCGCTGCAACTCCGACTTTGTGGCCGCCACCCTCAACCTGCGCGGCGCCGGCCGCTCTGCCGCCTACTGCACGGCCCTGCGCTCCTACTCGCACTGCACGCGGCGCACGGCGCGCACCTGCCGCGGCGACCTGGCCTTCCACTCGGCCGTGCACGGCATCGAGGACCTGATGATCCAACACAACTGCTCCAAGGACGGTCCCACCTCACCTCCCCGGCCGCGCGCGCCGACGCCGGATCACCAAAGCTTTCCAGCTTCGGAGATGTGCGACTACGAGAAGACGTTCCGCTCCAAGCACGGCCGCCCGCCGCGCTACCAGCACTGCGCCGCCTTCGGGGACCCCCACGTCCGCACGTTCCACGATGATTTCCACACGTGCCGGGTGGAGGGAGCCTGGCCGCTGCTGGACAACGAGTACCTCTTCGTGCAGGCCACCAGCGCGCCCGTGGCTGAGGGCTCCAACGCCACCGTCACCAGCAAGGTGTGCGCCTGCGGGGGGTGAGAGGGGACAGACCCCGGCAGTGCCGGGGACCCACAGTGTCAATGGAGCGCCCAGGGAAGCTGTAATGAATCAGGGGGGCACCAGGAGGGGACAGGGACCCCATAACTGTTTGGGACCCCATAGAGTGCCGGGAACCCCATAACGTGCCAGGAGGTCACCAGGAGGGGTCAGGGATCCTACAGAGTGTCAGGGACCCACAGTGTGTCAGGGGTCCCCTGGAGAGGCCAGGGATCCCATAATGTATCAGGGGAGCACCAGGAGGGACCAGGGATCCCATAACTGTTTGGGACACCATAGAACATCAGGAACCCCATAATGTGCCAGGAGATCACCAGGAGGGGTCAGGGATCCTACAGAGTGCCAGGGACCCACAGGGGTGTCAGGGGTCCCCTGAAGAGGCCAGGGAGCCCATAATGTACCAAGGGGCACCAGGAAGGGCCAGGGATACCACAGGTGTTTGGGACACCATAGAGCGTCAGGAACCCCATAATGTGCCAGGAGATCACCACGAGGGGTCAGGGATCCTACAGAGTGCCAGGGACCCACAGGGGTGTCAGGGGTCCCCTGAAGAGGCCAGGGATCCCACACTGAACCGGGGGAGCACCAGGGGGGGCCAGGGGTCCCATAACTGTTTGGGACCCCATAGAGTACCGGGAACCCCATAATGTGCCAGGAGGTCACCAGGAGGGGCCAGGAATCCTGCAGAGTGCCAGGGACCCACAGGGGTGTCAGGGGGAGGGGCCCGGGATCCCATAACGTACCAGGGGAGCACCAGGAGTAGACAGGGATCCTGCAGAGTTCCAGGGACCAGGGGAGGGGAGGGGAGTTGAGGACAGGGGAGTTGAGGACAGGGGAGAGGAGAGGAGAGGAGAGGAGAGGAGAGGAGAGGAGAGGAGAGGAGAGGAGAGGAGAGGAGAGGAGAGGAGGGGAGAGGAGGGGAGAGGAGAGGAGAGGAGAGGAGGGGAGAGGAGGGGAGGGGAGAGGAGGGGAGAGGAGGGGAGAGGAGGGGAGAGGAGGGGAGAGGAGAGGGGGGATCCTCCACACGGAGCTGTGGGGCCACAACACTGCCCAGAGCCGCGGGTGCCCCATCCCTGGAGGCGGGGGGCACGCAGCCTACAGGGGGGTGATGTGGGGCTGGGGGGGCGGGGAGATCCCCGACCTGCAACTCAACGGCCTCACGTTGGGGAGGTGTGGGCGAGATTGGGAAGAATTTCTTCTCCGGAAGGGCGGCTGGGCACAGAAAGGGTCTGCAGGGTGGGGGGGGTCACCGCCCAGAGGGACGCGGGGACACAGAGCTGAGCGACGCAGGGCACGGGGGGGGGAGATGGAGGGGGGATCCTGGGTTCTGAGAGCGCCATCCCCTGCAGCTCACCATCATCTTCAAGAACATGAAGGAGTGCACGGAGCAGAAGGTGTACCGAGCCGAGCTGGACAACGTGCCCGCAGCCTTCGAGGACGGCTCGGTGACGGGCGGCGAGCGGCCGGGGGGAGTCGGGCTGCGCATCCACGAGCGCAGCCCTGGGCGACACGTGGAGATCCGAGCTCCGTACATCGGCACCACCATCGCGGTGCGCCAGGCCGCCCGCCAGCTCTCCTTCTCCATCCGCGCCGCCGAGGAGGTGACCCGCGCCTTCACGGCGGAGCAGGACCTGCAGCTGTGCGTGGCCGGCTGTCCCCGCAGCCAGCGCATCTCCCGCAGCGTGCGCAGCCGTGCGGCGGCGCAGGCGGCTCGGGCGCTTTGCAAAGCCACGCTGCCCGTGGAGGACGTCTACTTCCAGTCGTGCGTCTTCGACGTGGTCACCTCCGGAGATGCCAACTTCACCATGGCGGCACGAGGAGCGCTGGAGGACGCCAGGGATTTCCTTCCTGACGCGGAGAAGCTGCACATCTTCCAAGCCGGGGCGGGCTGCCCGAGTGCATCTCCGTCCTTCCTCCTCCTCCTCCTCCTCATCTGCGCTCTCAGGTCACAGTTGTGACCCCTCTTGTGACCCTTTTGTTGGCGCTTGTGACTTTTTTGTGACCCTCATTGGCTCTTGTGGCCGTTGTTGGCAGATGTCACCCTTTTGTTGGCACTTACGACCCTCATTGGCACTGGCGACCCTTTGGTTGGTATTGGTGACCCTTTTGTCAGACCATTTTGTGTCCCTCATTGGTACTTGTGACCGTTCTTGGCACATGTCACCTTTTGTTGGCACACGTCACCCTTTTGTTGGCACTTGTGACCCTTTTGTTGGCACTTGTGGCCTTTTTGTGACCCTCATTGGTACTTGTGACCATTCTTGGCACACGTCACCCTTTATGTTGGTACTTGCGACCCTCATTGGCACTGGTGACCATTCTTGGCACTGGTGACCCCTTGGTTGGTATTGGTGACCCTTTTGTTGGCACTTGTGGTGTTTTTGTGACCCTCATTAGCACCAGTGACCCTTTGGTTGGCATTGGTGACCCTTTTGTTGGCACTTCTGACCTTTTTGTGACCCTCATTGGTACTTGTGGCTGTTGTTGGCACACGTCACCCTTTTGTTGGCACTTGCGACCCTCACTGGCACTGGTGACCATTCTTGGCACTGGTGATCCTTTGGTTGACACCTGTGACCCTTTTGTTGGTACTTGTGACCTTTTTGTGACCCTCACTGGCTCTTGTGGCCGTTGTTGGCAGATGTCACCCTTTTGTTGGCACTTACTACCCTCATTAGCACCATTGACCCTTCGGTTGGTATTGGTGACCCTTTTGTCAGACCTTTCTGTGTCCCTCATTGGTACTTGTGACCGT